GTGGTTGTTACCATTTGACATGAAGCACAAATTCGTAAGTGACAAGTCTTATTCACTAATCAAAAGCTATGAGTAAACTATTCCCACCCATTAGGAGGCTGGGGCTAGAGACAGCAGTGAGGGAGCTTCAGTATAAATGAGTCTCACAATCCTGGTTACCAGCAGATTTGCCATATAAGCAGGCAAAAGGAGAAAACCAGCAGCAGCAGATTGGAGAGAGAATGAAACACCAAAGGGTAGTCTATTTGAATACACAGCACAGATCACTCCTGGGAAGAGTTAAGGTGACTCAACACCTTTGACTCTGTTCATATTGAGTTATGTTCTCCTGCTGGCCATTGCTCCATTTCCCCCAAATAGTCACTTCCTCCTTCTCTCAACATGAAATGACAAGCCATAAATTGATTAAGAAAAGTAACCTGAAATTATTAAGCTACTAAGGTCAGAATCCAAATATCTGGACCTGGGGTGCCAATTCCAATGCTCTGCTGTACCATTTACCACTTCTATACAACTGTTGGCTGAGTCTCTATCTATACGCCAACCTTCAGCATTTTCATTGGAGGGAGGTCCCTGGGGCTCTTGACAGAATTCAAGGGATATTGTTAATGAGATTTTCCCCAGCACTATTTCTTGCCCCCAGACTTTTAGAGTGCTGCCCTTCTGTCCCTGGGGCTGGAATGTTTATATCAGGTGGCTCTTTACTCCTTCAGTAGTAAAGCAGTATGTAGAAAATTATGCCACCTTAGTTGCTCACTGCTAGTTATGTTGATCCAGAAAAGGAGTCATATTCTAGGATGCTTTTGAGACTCTGACACAAAGTAGCTCAAAGCACCAAGAATAAATCCAGGAACAGCAAAAAATTAATATTTACCTGAGCAGGCACCAATAGGAGATGAACAAATGTTGCTGAACAAAAGGGTTTTCCCAGAAAAGTCAATTGTAGCATCAGAAAATTGAGCTCGTACTAGAGTACATGCTTTCCAGAACATTTTAAAATAAGTCAATGTGATCCACCAGATTTTATACTAACAAATGAAACAAATCAAATATTTTTTTTAATAAAAAAGGAAAGCCATTAAGTTTGGATTCTGCCATATCCCCATAAAAGCTCTACTTCTGGGAGGAGAAAGGTGATGATGCACATAATTGATAATCTATTTCTTGGCTGGTCCAAAGGTAGCGAGTTACCTCGACTGATTGTTCACAGTCAGTTACAAATTGAACTCCTGTTCTACTCTTTCCCCTATTCTCACTACTGCACTTGACTAGGCTTTGAAAAAAATAAAAATAAAATAAAAAAAGAGATAAACCATTTCTTGCTGTAAAACACTGGAAAGCACACAACAACGAATTATAGAAGTGATCTGTCCTGAACAAGGAGACATATTATCACACAGTTCACCCCTTTCAGATAATAAAGACCATTCTGGATATCTGCAGACAGCCGGTTTTCACTCAGTGATTTTTTCCAATGCTTAGTCAAACCTTAATTATTTTAAAATGGCTCAGCTACTACCTGGAATTATGTATGTCTAGTCTAACATTCTCTAAGACAAGCTGGGATTCAAACTCAAATACAAGCTAAACTCTTTCATGATAAAGATAAAAATTTTAAGTATTTTTCAAGAGCTCTGGTTATAAGAAACAGCCTACTAGTTTCACTGCAACTCCAATCCAGATTTAAAGAAAAAAAAAAGGACTCTAGAGTTTATGGAAACTTCTTTTGCTAATTTTTTTCAGAAGTTGAATACACATGGAAGAGACAAAAATCAGAGCAATGCCAGAAAGCAGTAATATTTGATTCCTCTCTCTTCTTTCCAAATACCTCACATACTAATGCAAAAACAAAAAAGAAAAACAGCTTTAGAGGTGTGTACAATTGAGAATCTACTCTGAAGATTTCTTTTCCCATTTCCTACTGTAATCAGTTTTTAAAAATAATTCACAGACTCATTTAAGATTCCTGTAAAAAGGAACACCTGGTCTCCCCGATTCTTTAAGTCCACATAACAAAATAATAAGCTAGCAAAACACACATAATAAAATTCTAAAAATGTGGATACCACAGACTTGACCTAGAATCAAGTTTCCTCCCTGCCGTTCCATGTATCCTCTTCTTTTCACACTTCAGCATTAGGAGACAAGGATAAGCAACAATTGTTACTTCCAAGATGACCAAATCCACCTTTCCAAAAGCACATATTTTCAGGAGTTTTTAAAAAGTACCTGATAATGTTGTAGCTCAGTAAAGTACTTTTGTGCAATTAAAGCATTAAAAGCATCAGCCTGTTTTATTTTGTGACAAGTTTATTGAACAGTATTCAAGACTTCATCTTTATAAACAAAAACCTCTGCTGAATGATGCCAAGGCAGTATTTGCTGGCAATGCTGTGGCCACACTGGCAATGAGCCATTTTATTGTGTTTGGTTTCTAAAGTTTGGACTACTGTTGAACTGCCAGGTCCAAAACTTTAATGTGGCAATTTTGCAAGGGTGGGAAATAATTTTTAAAGTGACCACCACCAGAAATTCTTTCCAAAAGATTTAACTAGCAGCAATTTTACATTTTCTTGTTTTTCAAGTGTTCTTAAAATTGATGAGTGGGATTTATTATTACGCACTCACCCCACATCTGCACATAATCAGAATCCAGTAAAAGGGAGTCAGAGTTTAAGGCTTTCATGCATCCTTATTTTTATGCGAGGTGACTATTTCCACCTAAAAATGTTATGTTTGCTTACTTCCATACAGTCCTAGATTTTCATCCAGTGGTTAAGACTGACCTTAGCTACACTGAATATTATCTGAAATTTCGAATACAAGTTTCCTAATGGAATTTTCATTGTTGATGATGCTTTTACAACTTGGAGTACAAAGCTAGAAACTACATTTCACTTAACACTGTGTAGCATTAAAAAAAAAAAGCCACTAATAATTGTATATCCAAACTATGTGTAAACACAGAACGCACCTCCAAATTATGCTTGTGAACTAAATGTTCAGAAAAGTTTACAAATTTGATTATTTATAAAATACATTTGTAGATTTCTCTAATCCTTTAAACCAAGAGAAAAATGAACACCAATTAAAACTCAGAAGGGAAAGGAAAAAAATTAAACCTAATGGAAAAGATTCTCTCCCATTAATGTCAGTCACCAAAATCAGACAATAAAATTTACACACAAAATTGAAAATATCATGATAGTGTTTACAAATGCACACAACTTTGAGCAAAGCTTTACAAATCCTTCATACCATACAGAGCAAGTGAGAAAATAATGTATATTCATTTCCACCCCAAACCTAGTTCCTAGGAGAAAATTTACCTAGGAAGAGAGGTATGAATAGTTTCACAGAACACATTTTCAAGAATATTTTTTAAACTGAAACTCCAATGCCCAGAACAAGATAAACAGTATGCTTAGCAGTTAGCACTATGTTAATAAGTCTCAGATACACAAAAATCAAGTTCCAGAGGGCAAAGCATTTAATTACATTTCACAACGAGAAGCACTGTTGTGATTCAACGAAATATGAAACATAGTTCTCTCCAGTTTCTACACAAATCACTATTTTCTTAATTTATTTAATTCAATGAACAATGCAATCAAGTTTTCCTTTTCAGCATTTATCTAAGATGTAGAAATAACAAAGTAGTTGCAATAAAGTATATGAAATATTTAATAAGAATGTACGAACATATAACCAAAATAAATTGTGAAAAAAGATAAAAGACTTTCATCTTCAAACAACCCATTTTTCTAAAATGAAAATAGTCAGCTTTCCAATGGGGAAAATATCTGTGGTTGAAATAAGACTCCCAAGCAGCGCTGAAGTTTTTTGCATTGTCTTTGGAATGAGAAATGATTACTTAACAGAAAACTTAAATGTTAACAGCATATACAAACATCATATTGCTTAAATTGAGGCAGTATCTAGTGATCTGTGTCAAAGCAAATTTGTATTCATGAATTATCAAAAGACCCACAACGCAGCCACCTCTTTTTTGAGTCTAAATAATCCTTTCTTTAAACAAAAATCCTGTACTGTCAATCCTCTAAGAGCGTAGTGATGAAAAGGCTTTCAAATCTTACCACACAAATGAAACTGTTGCCACTCTTAACTCTAAATTACACAACGCTGTATTTCAGTGTTCCACTAACTTGCAACACCAAAAAGGCACTATATATATATATATTTTTTTTTTAAATAGGAAATACTTCTTTTAAAAGGCTGACCCTTTTGTAAGTACACTGATTCGTAGGAAATATTGGGAATGTTTCAAATCAAGGCAAGAGGGCCATGAAAAAGATAAAATTTGTTTTTCATAATATCTCAAAAATCTCCCATTCTGTATGTTTATAATATAATGTGACACATCTTTATATAAAGTAACCCTAATTAGAGAGCCTTTGTGGCAGTGAACAGGACATTGTAAAGTAAATGTTTTCATGACAAGGACACTTACCAACCAGAACCCATGTGGTCCCTCCTGTCCTAGTGTCCTGAATGCCAAAGAAAAGAGTATGAAAGGGCAAGGAGGTTCAATTTGCTCCCCCTGGCAGCTGTACTTATACTCCATATGAAGAATTTTTGTAAACAGGCTCTTGATCAAACAACTACACGAAAAAGCCTCCAAGTAACAGGATTAAACGCATCATCAATCTATGAACCAACTTACAGATCTTTCATTCTATAATACTATTGCTAACAAAGCTAACAATTTCAACTTCAGTTTTAAAATCCTTGATACAATAATGCTCTTTCTTATGAATGGACCCCTCTTTGTTTTCTTAAAGGCCAAAATTTCACATAAATTGGGACAGAAGAAAATTGTTAGAACAATTAGTCCACAACGGACAGGACTTCAAATCAAGCATCTTAAACGCTAATTATTAAAAGTGGTTTCTGGTTTTTGATCCCATCCAAACAACATGAACACTTTTTAAACCGACTAAACTAAAACTTGACGGTCAAACCAAAAAGGCTCTGGTAGGTAAAGGACTCCATAGTTTATTTTTATGGCAAGTCTTATTCCACACAGTTCTAAGTGTGACAACAAAGTTCAAGGTTATAGCACAAACCACGTGTGGAGTTTTATATTTAGGAAAAAAAACCAACAAAACAGTTCTGCTCATTTACAAATGAGTCAATTACGTAAACAAAGCAGCAACTTCTGAAGCAGGACTGTCTATACAGCAAGAACCCTCAAGAAGCAATAAAGGTACATACAATGAATCTGTATACAGAGATTTTATTCAATTTTTAAAGAAAATGAGGACTTTAGACAAAGATTTACCCTATAACAAAGCAAATCTGTCCAGCTTTAAACCAAATTCCGAGTAGCCAACATCTATTTTTCAGCAGTTGGCAAGAACACCCTCAATGAGCTCTACTTTCTATTTTCTTCATCCCATATGGTATAAAACAAAACCAATCTAGACTCCTTGATAAGTGTCACGTGGTCATTTGAGTTTTACAAATGGTTTCTCTAATGGTATGCCAAAATCATTTTTGTGTTCTCTCCAGATAGCTTTACTGTAACATACGGCAATGTTTATCCTGGTAGTGAGTCTTCTGTAAACAGTCAACCAATGCTCTATGTTATGGAAACCAATCTATATGCAATTGAAACAATCCACAGGTTCTAACCTGGAAATACTAGGAAAACAATCTGGATGCATTAATCACAGCAATATGAAGATCTATCCTATAAAGAATTGATGCGAATGGCTACCCTAATACAAGTTTTACTTTTCTTGAGCCTATAGGCCTGTCATTTAAGTCAATGACAGCAGCTGTAGCTTCATCCCGAGACTCGAAGGCCACCATGGCTTCACCTGTGGGCATACCTTTTTCATTGTATTTTAAACACACCGAGCCTGGGATTACTTGATAGCCATAAAAGAAATCTAAAATCTCATCAATAGACACAGTAAAGGGCATGTTCTGCACTTTAATTACTGTTGGACCTGGTTTTCCAGAACTAGATCCAAAACCAGGGGGACCACCAATATGGATTGGGCCAGGGCCAGGCCCAGGCCCAGGCCCAGGCCCAAAAGCTGGTGGCCCACTCAAATGCCCAGGGGCACTTCCAAGACCAGGAGGGCCACTTCCAAAACCAGGGGGACCACCTAAACTACCAGGGCCATTTCCAAAATTCTGAGGGCCTCCTCCAAATCCTGCTGGCCCACTTAAATTATTTGGTCCACCTCCAAAACCTGGAACATCCAGTCCTAGACCAGGCAAACCACTGTTTCCAACTGAAGGCATACCGGGCCTAGCATCACCAAAGGCCCCTCCTAATCCTGGAGGAGGGAGTGGTGGCCCAAAGGCATTTGACCCACCAAAATTACCAGGAAAGTTAAATGGAGGCCCACTGTTGGCCTCCTTTGACCCTACAGTCAGGAAGGCATGCTCTTCACCTCCTGCACTGGGCATTCCTGAACCGGGCATTCCCGCACTGGGCATTCCCGCACCGGGCAGTCCCGCACCGGGCATTCCAGCACCGGGCATTCCGGCACCGGGCATTCCGGCACTGGGCATTCCCGCACTGGGCATTCCTGGTACTGCAGGATTACCTGGCACAGGCATCTTTAATCCTTTTTTTCCTTGGGCAGGGGGATTTTTCTCAATCTCTCTCATATCTTCTAGGGTCACTACATGAACAAAAGCTTCTCTCCCATTAAGTTTTTTACGGTGTAAGCGTTCAGACTTACGTGCATCATCTTCATTTTTAAACTGAACCAATGCCTGTCCTAGACCTTGCCCATTGTTATCAACAAGAACATGTACAGCATTTTCATCCACTGGAATTCCTTCTAGGAACTGAAGAACATCCACCTTGGTAATGCTGAATGGAATATTTGTAATGTGGGCACAGACTTTGGCGGAGTTGACATCCCCCTCTGTATTTAATATCGCTTCTCTCTGGTCATAGCTGAAGTTCTGCAGTCTTTTTCGAATCATGTCTATCTTTTCTAGCATACCTTTCTTAGTAATTGGATGAACTTGAATAAAGCGATTGCCCATGTATTGTTTATGACGACACAGAGCAGCCTTATAGTCAGCCTCATTCCTGAACTCTACAAAGCCTTCACCAGTTGCTTTCCCATTGGGTCCATAAGCTATATAAATACTATCTTCCACAATATCCAACTTTTTAAAAAAATCAATGACATGTTTGTTTTCTGCTTCAAATGGTAGCCCTTTTAAGTAAACACAAAACCCAGCCTCATGTGGTGATCTTGACCTTGACCTTTTCTGCCCACTGGGCGATTTTGACCTGGGAAGTGTCTGAGGAGGGGGATGAGTTTGTCCAGAAGGTCCTATATTTTGCTTAAAAGTGATATGGCCTCCAGCAGCTACCCACTGTCTTTCTGTGGCAGGGCTAACTTCCACATAGCGTTGAATCATCAGCATTCTGTTTCGTTTCAAAGCTTCAAATGTATCTTGAGGGGAGAGAAACTTAACCAATCCATTCCCATTATTTCGACCTACATGATCTTTCAACAAATGCACTGCATCAACACGGAGCCCATGGAAAAAATCTCTGACATCATTTTCCATTGCAGAAAAGGGCATTCCATGCACACTGACATAGAGATCATCAGGGTTGATGGGAAGTGGCTTCACACTGTTTTGAGAGTTCATCTGGATAGGGTTAACAGGATTCAATGGACCCAGAAACATAGGGTTCAGGTTATTGTTCAGATTCATAGGCGTTCCAGAGCCATTCATTCCAGCAGGCAGAGGTGCCACAGGTGGTGGATTCAAGGGCGGCATGCCCGACATGGGTGGCAGTGGGGTCATGGGTGGCACAGAAGGGACTGGGGGAATTGGGGGTACAGGAGGCACAGGAGGCAATGTAGGTACTGGAGGAGGAACTGGTATTGGGGGAATGGACGGCATCGGTGGTAAAGATGGCATCGCTGGGATTGGAGGAATTGGTGGCGGTGGGACCGTGTTCATTGGAGAGGCTGTACTTGGAACAGTCGAGCTAAAGGTCGGGCTCCCAAAGGAAGGCCCCATATTTGGAGGAGCTGTTCCTATGCTGGCTGTGGAAAATGTCTGTATGTTTTTGTTGCTTTCATGAACAGAAGTGGTGGCAGTAACTACACTGGGTGAAGGATTATTAAAGTTGGGTACTGTTGTAGGCAAGTTTACCCTGCCACTCATTCCTGAGCTAGGTGGCGGTCCTGATCTACTAGCATTTGCTGGTGGTATATCTAAGTTGGCAGTTTCAAAACGCCTACGACTCAGTTCAATCATATTCTGCATTTCCGTTTTACTACTCAACAATAGTGTTACTTTTGACCCTTTAATTGTACCACCTGTGCGCATCATACCAAGCCTTGCATCTTCATCAGTGGCAAAAACGATGAAAGCCTCACCCAGTTCACCCCCTACAATATGCACGCCCCCATCAGGGATGGTCAATCCAGAGAAGAAGTGGCGAATGTCCATGGTCCCCGCCACAATTGGGAGACCTTGCAAACGGATGACCACAGCCATGCTGCGCTGAAACCACACACACCTGCAGATGAGAAAAGGCAACGGCCAGGTCAGACTCCTGTTTATCACACCAAGTTTTTAGCTACAAGAATGACCAGCTACCATATTAGGCCCTCAAATATTCCCTCAAGCTATCAAAGGCAATGTCTTTCTTTAATTTAGCTATTCTAAAAACTGAACATTACATGCCATTTACAATGTAAAACCTAGACAATTTCGACTTCCACAAGGCATTAATTCTGGAAACAATTAGCAGTTCAGTCCCAAGACTCAAAAGGCTCAGGAAAAAACAACTGTAGGACAGTAAAATCACCATATACATCCCATCATTCAGACCGCTAATCATTCAGTAAGACTTAAAATAAATGTGTAAGTCATATCAGGAAATAAAGTTTAACAATCTACAGGGGAAAAACATGTAAAGGATGCATTGAAGTTAATGTTTAAAACTGGTTTAGCAGCCCGGTATGGTGGCTCACACCTGTAATCCTAGCACTCTGGGAGGCCAAGGCGGGAGGATTGCTGGAGCTCAGGAGTTCAAGACCAGCCTGAGCAACAGCGAGACCCCGTCTCTACTAAAAATAGAAAGAAATTAATTGGACAGCTAAAAATATATAGAAAAAATTAGCCGGGCATGGTGGCGCATGCCTGTAGTCCCAGCTACCTGGGAGGCTGAGTCAGGAGGATCGCTTGAGCCCAGGAGTTTGAGGTTGCTATGAGCTAGGCTGATGCCATGGCACTCTAGCCCAGGCAACAGAGCAAGACTCTGTCTCAAAAAAAAAAAAAAAAACTGGTTTAGCATCTTCCCTATACACCTGATAATTTCATAGACTTATCTGAGTGTGAGTTTATAGAGCTCAGTCTCAAAATGCAAAAGAAACAAAGCTAGAATACTAATGAATTACAAATAATACTTAACACTAAAGTAGATTCAAGTGTCAAATGAGAACTGATTCCATATTTCATCCTAAAACTTTTCAATCTTCCTTATAGATTTATTTTAAATAAAACCACATGTGGATTTATTATAAACAGGGTTAATACATACTAAGAAGCCAAAAAGAAATACTGAATAGAATAGCCAAAATCTGAGTTACCCATATTCATTACCCTCACAGTAGAACCTGGTTATAGTGTCATTCACTGTGACTGTTTTATTAAAACTCAGGCCCAGGCCGGGCGCGGTAGCTCACGCCTGTAATCCTAGCTCTCTGGGAGGCCGAGGCGGGCGGATTGTTTGAGCTCAGGAGTTCGAAACCAGCCTGAGCAAGAGCGAGACCCGTCTCTACTAAAAATGGAAAGAAATTAATCAGACAACTAAAAATACATAGAAAAAATTAGCCGGGCATGGTGGCGCATGCCTGTAGTCCCAGCTACTCGGGAGGCTGAGCCAGGAGGATTGCTTGAGCCCAGGAGTTTCAGGTTGCTGTGAGCTAGGATGATGCCACGGCACTCTAGCCCGGGCAACAGTGAGACTCTGTCTCAAAAAAAAAAAAAAAAGAAAATCACAAACCAAATTCTTGGGACTGGAAAAAACATTACTTTGAAATTAATGTGGTCAACAACATAGGGTGTTTTCTAAGCCATCTTAAAAATCAACTTTTAAATGTAAGCCTATTAAAATGGCTCTGTGACCTCCAGGAAGTTATAAATTATTTAAGATTTGGTTTTATTACTTCTCAAATAAGAACATTAGAAGGGGCAAGATTTCCTGCTATAAGCACTAAGAATTCTGAAACTCCATGAAAGCAGTTCTTTAATGTCAAGTACTATGTGAATACTAATTCAATGCAACAAAGTCTGTAATTGTATCTCAATATTATGATTGCTGTTTACAAAAGAGAAATATATTGTTTGGCTTTGACAGTTTTATCACACACTCATACACAAAAATAAAAGCCACCTTCAAATTTAATACAGAAAAGATGGACTGGCAAACAGAAAATGCTCTTTGTGAGATGATAATAAAACACTAGAAATATGGGGAGGGTGGAGAAGCTTTTCATTTATGTACTGTAAGAGTCAACAAGAAAAATTAACATCACACCAACAGACTCTTTTTTCCTTATTTACTATTTAGCAGCCTATAAGGAAGTTCATCAGAAGTTTCCAAGTCATTAAATCAAATTTGCATTCCTTACTGATTCTAGAATATGTGGCCATATGCAAAACTGAGATAGCATTCCTGTTCAACTTTCAAAAACGTTTAATCTGGCCGGGTGTGGTGGTTCTCGCCTGTAATCCTAGCACCCTGGGAGGCCAAGGCGGGCGGATCGCTCAAGGTCAGAAGTTCAAGACCAGGCTGAGCAAGAGTGAGACCCCGTCTCTACTATAAATAGAAAGAAATTGGCTGGACAACCAAAAATACATAGAAAAAATTAGCTGGGCATGGTGGCACACGCCTGTAGTCCCAGCTACTCGGGAGGCTGAGGCAGAAGAATTGCTTGAGCCCAAGAGTTTTGAGGTTGCTGTGAGCTAGGCTGATGCCATGGCACTCTAGCCCAGGCAACAGAGCAAGACTCTGTCTCAAAAAAAAAAAAAAAAAGTTTAATCACTTTGTATGGGGGGAATATCATGGGCAATTCAGGTACCCAAACAACTTGAGAGAGATATATTAGTTTCCATTGGGACAATAAATAGGAACTTGATATAGTCCCAAGAACACAAAAATTAAATACTGGGCTAAAGTGACATACACAGTTAAGTTTTTAAACCATTTTCCATTGAGTAGGGATTTTCGGAAAGTCTGTACAAGGTACACATGAAAGCATGCTATTGAAAACGTGCCTCAGATTACCAGCTAGAAAAGGGCTGAGTATTAAACCAAAGTAGAGTACGAGATCTATTCCTAAAGCCACATGAAGAGGAAAAGTTTTTAGGTTCTGAAAAATATGAAATAACATCTGCTATTCTGCTACTAAGTAACTGTTTCACAGACAAATCATTTCAACCTATCTTGAGTCTACATTAGAAGAGGGTTAGATTCCATATGCTAACGATCCATCTAAAGTCTAAAATTTGTACTCTAAAACATATGACCCAATATCTTTACTTATACCTCTAGGGAATATAAATAACCATAAACAAGCACCTGTATATGTATTTAGTCTAAAATGCTACTGAGAAATAAAACAGCTATTTACTGCCTAACAATCAGGAATGCAGCAGAAGAAATGCACTCACATAAAACTGACCCCAAAAGCAAGCAACAACTGTTCAAGGTACCCAATCCACCCCTCCCCGACCCCTCAGATAAACTTGTAAATAAAAAAAAAACAACCACACACAGAATTTAGTTACTACACACAATTTCATGTTTCTTAATAAGCTATCTCATTTTATTTTGTATAAAAGCAAACTCTCTATTCAAAATCTCTTACCTGATAAAACAAGAGATGTATTTTCTTAACAAGAAGTAGAGGCCAAGTCAATCCTGTGGGCAACCAATTAAAACCAACTTTTAGACTGCAATAGAGAATAAATGGAGGCAAATATCAATGCAGGAAACACAATACAACACTCACAGGCCACACTGAACTGTACATTATGAAGGCGAGTCTGAAACCACCAGAGTACTTCATTAGAAAGCATATTTAAAAAAAAAAAAAAAGGAAAGATATGAACCAAAATCCCACACGTGCTTTTTGCTTGGTATTGCTCTCAAATCTGAATATGTCTCAAAATATTTAAATATTTGCATACACCAAGAATATGTCAGAAATTAGCCCAAAAATGAATCAATTGAAAACTAAAATAGTCATAAAGCTCAGCTTCACAGCTAGTCATTGCTTCTACCACTCGATGATTAAACCGGTCCAGAAAACTCTGTAAAATGAGTCTATTTTCCCAGATTCTCACCAAAGTTTTGATGAAAAAGCACAAGTTCGCACAATAACAATTCCTGGATAAACTAAGTCATCAATTCAAGGATACTCATGGAAATTATTGCAAGTACTCTTTCAATTCCTTTGTACCAAAATAGCATCAAATATCAAAAAACAAATGAAGCAAAAGTTCTGGCTATAAGGACTATTTCCATTGGGGTTCAAACTATTAAAGAAAGTGTTTTTTCTTCTAATATCACAACAGTTTCAAAAAAAACTTGTTTAAAAAAAAAAAAATCCCTAAAAATCTCTGGCACAGTAAGAGTATTTCCCCAAGTAAAAACAGGTCACTCATCATTCACTGGAATTTCTGACAAAGTGGTAAAGTTATGAACAATTCATAAGCAATATATATGAACAAATGACTAATTCAGAGAAAGAGCGTAGAAGAAAATTGTCACTGTTCAGTATTAAGATTAATCAATAGAAAAACTACTTATCCAAATGATGCTTCATTTTAAACTAACACTTTTCAAAATCAAGACACTAGTGAACTTAATAATCACCACCAAAAAGTATAACATATTTCAAAAATTCTAAGTGTCATTTCAAACTTTAAAGGACAAGCTAAACATCCTCTAGTCAACTACTCAAATTAAAAAGGAACAATGAGATTGTTTGGCCACAAAAGCTATGCAAATGTCATCAACACACTTTCAAAAGGCCAGAGCATTGTACAAATCTAGTATAATTACACCTGAAGAGTCTAAACACTCTGCATTTAAAAGGCACGTCCAATCATTTATATAACTGGTCACAAAGGGAGATGTGAAACAGAAAAAGCTTGCTTCAAAGTAAAGCAAGGATGAAGAGCATGTTATTGCAGTATTTATGTATAGGTTTGACTCTAGGAGCCACAGAACCACAGTAATTTTCTAGTTAAGCGCTTGTGATAAACATGTGATCCCTACTGGAGACTCCAATTCAAAGGATCTGGTATAGGGCCAGGGCATATGCTCTAAATATAAGGGAAACAAGTTCCTCGGCCTCTTTCCTTCCAGACCCAAAAAGGCATCATATGCTCATCTCGAGAAGGACAAATTAAGGGTCAGCCAGTTAAGCTCAAAGGGAACTCACTAGGTCTACTCTCAAAAATTTCTATAAGGTTACCTGAACTTACTTTAAAAGGGAGGAAACTTCTTATTCCACACGGCAAGGTAGAAAGGCCCAGTTGAATTTGGCAAATGCCTAGTTAAAGCTTTATGTGTTCAACTTAAAGCACAAAATCAATTCAGGTATAAATTTGTGATTCTCTTCTATTTCAGCAAAGAGAAAGCCCTCTCCTACCCCATACCAAGGAAAAATATGCAGAAAGTTGAAGCTAGAGGTCAGAACTTCACAACCTTCGGTATTATACTTCTTTGTTCAAAAGACAAAGGTAAATGGAAACAGAACTGCAGTACTTTTATTTCTTTTGACACCTCACTTTGTAAAGATCACAATAATTTAACACAATAATTTAACAGAGGCATCACTGTTTTCCAGGAACCTATGCATTCCTGTGTTCTAAATGTCAGCTAGCAACTGAATGCAGGATTCCAAAATGAAAAATCCACCCCGCTGACCTTAAGCTTTCATGAACTTTAAAGGGTAAGACTGAAATAAGTCTATACAATGAAACATTTAAAATACATATTTTATCTACAGATAGAGCATAATGGTAGAGAAGGAGAAAATGGGCCTGATTTGCCATTAAATCCACTCATATATTTTAGAAGATCTAAAACAAGAAGCTTGCGTTCGTATGTTTTCCATTCATGTTACAAATTAGTCCTAACAGAGAGGCTTTGCTTCAGCTTGACAAATACCAGATACGTGAACAAATTATAAAAATCTGCTACAAAAAATTTAGCATGTTATAACACAGACTTTCTTATCACTTGGAATTTTAGAATAAAATGTCTGACAACAAACCTTTTTATCAAGAAGTCAAGGCACAAACTAGAACTTCACAATTTCCACTCTTCATCTGGTAATAAAACACCCAAAAGTGAACTTTAACTTTGTTCAGTCATCAGTCTTTAATCGACAAGAACGAGGGTACAGCAGAGCCAGGTTCTTCAGATCCCAAAGAAACAAAAAACCAGCAACCCCTCAAACGTTCACCTCAGAGATGAGCAATAATCAATCGCAATGGGCACAATGCTGTAAGCGGTATAATCACATTATGACAGGCATTATGAAACAACCAGATTCATCCACTTGATTTTGTTCCCCATCCCCAAAACGCAATATATTTCAGATTCTGGGATCATTCTTAACGAAAAAATTCTTCTGACACTGATGGAGATACATCCCTTTTATAATGCATTACTCAATTTTCCCATTAACTTCTATTCAGTACTCAAAGGCAGCAAATCAGAAGACATTTCTAAATGAGATATTCCTCTGCCAAGAAGATTTTAATATTAAGTTATTTTCCAATCCCCCAGAATGCCAACAAAAATATCTTGTTATCATTTAAACTTAAAAGCAAAACTATTACTTCTAACCTAACCAACCACATTCACTCTCACTGTTGCTTTAAGACTTAAAAGCTGGCATTAAACTTAATTAACTAAAATCCATGCAAACTAAAAGGTACATGGGTGTTGGTAGTAAAATGTGATAAAACTATAATTTAGATGAAAGTATTTTTCCATTTAGTTGATCTAAAACATTTAACAGTATTCATTTACTCTACAAACATTACGCATTTGCAGGCCAGGCAAAAAGTTATAAAACTGGACAACAGTCTCTGCATTTTAGCGAGGGATATCCAAAAACATCTTTTGTGCAACCAGTTACTGACAGTTCTTTCCTACGGTATCTACAGAAGAAAACACTCATCCACACTTGAATGAGGGAGTGGCTTTCTGCAAGACGGAATAAAATCAGTATCAAATTGTCAATGGATTCCAGCACCTGGAACGCAAAGGCCCACAAAATCAAGTTTCGCATCCAAAAACTGTACCAACAACTCCCAGACTCTCAATACGCAGTCATCAAAATATTTTACATGTCAAAGAATGCGAAAGAAGCCTAAAGTACTGGTATTAACACATAACAATATGTTCCAAGTAACTACAACAATGGTTTCTGAAGCGTCACATTTTTCACCTAACAGATTTGAACATTAAAAAAATTAAAGTTATGCATGACAATCCATAAACAAAGTAATCAACATTTAACCGAACATATGAAAGTGATATAAAAATGCATTCCCTGTTTCATTAAACTGCCCGATTAATAAATACTGAGCACATCTTCATTAACTTTTATATAAACATGCCAAACATTTCATTTTCTTCATAAATTAAATTACCATAAAGTTATTTGAACCACCTGTAACAGTTCTTCCCAATTTTTAAAAAAACGATTCTTGGAAAATGCCATAACACAATTACTTTCTACTAAATCCAGAAATCCTCCATTCTATCAAAACTACCAAATTTCAAAACAAGTACAACCAGTCTTGTATTTCTATAATTAAAAAAAAAAGATTTCCCTACATGTCCAGACTTGAAGGATTTTTTTCAATTGCAAATGCTCTGAAATGCATTAACAATATACACTAGTTAACAAGGTCCCAGGCAATTCTTGTTGCTAAGACTGCATTTTACAAAAATTACACCATTTCAAACCATTCAAGCAAGAAGCTCTAAGAGAAACTCCAGTCACAAGCCTCTTCCTTCAACTAGCCTTCACTTGCCATCACTTTTTCAAGTTATATTGACTAGCATCACCCTATCAATGAATAATACAAAATGGTCCCTGCCAACTACCCCAATTTGCATTAGGCCATCTCTGGGAATCCAGGAGCCAAGGTGAGTTTTAGGGCCGAGAAATCTCTTAAGCCTCCAATAGTACACACCACCCAGCTGAATGAATGTTTAGCACTTAATAACCCTGAGTAACCTTCACCGGAGCCCCTCAGATTTTTCACTATACAGCACACACTGGAGGCACACAAAAAGTCCACAAGCTTTCACAACCCAGCAGCTAAGCCTGTTGCACTAGTGTCCACCCTTGTCACTAACCTGTAGCTCCTCAAAGGCCCGCCCACCCACTGCACGTGGCTGTAAACTAGCGCAGCCAACCTTCGGACAAACCCAATTAATTTTACATCAAAAGCACCCACCCTCTACATCCCACCGACCTCGTCCTCCTTCAGTACTGGAGGCTCCACTCCCTAGGGAGTCGTAGGGGTGCTGGTCATAGCAGCCCCTTCGCTTCTTGGGGACCAAGTGCCTGGCATCTTACTACAATTCTCATGCCTTGGGAGGCTTACTCATCCCCCACTTTTTTGCTTCAGAGGCTGGCTTCTTAAACTGCCACACCCAGGAGAGTAAGCCCCTCCCCAGCATGGGCCCTGGAAGCATCTCCCTGCAACCCCCTCTATCTTCAGGCCGCGAAGGCGGCCGCTTCAGAGACTTCCTTCCTGGACTCACTGCAGTGTACTGACTACAGCTTCCTCCCCACAGGTGTGTCCCGATTGTAGCCCCTTCTTTTGCTGGTAGGCCACAGGGGCCTCCTTTCCATTCTGGGTTGAGGGAGTGTCCTCACTATCATCTCCCCACTTCGAAGCACAGAGGTGTACGTATAAATCTTCCCCGTTCGGGATGTAGGTGTATTTTCACAGCAGTTCCCGTTAGTTTGCAGGCCGACAGGCCACCCAGATCTGGCCTCCTCCCTCTCTGAAACCACGGGGGCGTCCTTGCTATGGCCTCGTCCCCACTTCGGTACGCAGGCTCATTCCCTCCTGCGCCTTCCTTGCATCCTCTCAGATCTCGACGTAAGTAGCACCCCAGGTCCCCCGCAGCCCTGCCTCGTCCCTTTGTGTGGGGCGCTCGCTGCGGCGGGCTCGGAGGCCTCCGAAGGCCCCGCCCCGGGCTACCAAGGGGCGGCTCGAGCCCCGCACAGCCCCGCCCGTTCCGGGGCTGCGGGAGTCTTACCGGGGAGAGCTGCGCGGCACCAGAACCCAGACCCGAGTTACCCCCCGCGCGAGTGCCTCCGCCCCGCGGCCGACAGCCCCAGCCCGAACGGCTTCCCGGAGCCCACCGCAGCCAACACCTCCTTCGCTGCTTCACAAAATGGCCGCCGGCCCGCTCAGCAGCTCCGTGTTCCAGAAGGGGGCGGGACGGAGTGGGTTGCGTCACGGGGATGCGCAAGCGCAGTGAGGTTCTCAGGCAATCTCCCGGAAGTTGCCGATGTTTGTGGTTAGAGGGGCTCTCATTCTGCGTTTGGGACATTTGCGCACCAAGCCAGACCTTAGGCGAAAGGCGCTGCGCGGTGGGATGAGTGCCGGCTCGGACCCTCTCTGCGGTACTTTGTGCAGATTGCTTCACTTCTTTTAGTCTCTGCGAAAGGAGGGAAATTGTGCCTATCTCGAAGAATTGAGGATTAAATGGACCACAAAGTGGTGGCTACTTCTATTGATAATGGCCTGACAAAAGAGCCAAAACATGATTTTTTTTTTTTTTTTTTATTTCAGCATATTATGGGGGTACAGATGTTTAGGTTACGTGTGTTGCCCTTGGTTCCCCCCCCCAATGATTCTTTTTTTTCCACTTAAAAATTTCAATCCAGGAAGCCTTACCCATTCTAACCCCTCCACAGCTGCACTTTAGTATTATTTTATTATAGAAAAAACTGTTCTCAAGCTGCTTTGGTCCTAGCTCCCAAACTCGACTCCCCTTGACTGTACACTATCCTGATGAATGTCTCCTCCGTAACTTACCTAGTCTTCAAAATCACAAAGTGAGGAGTCTACTGAAGAACCAAATGAGGGCCTAAATTCTCACAACTCCAACAAGCTTTTGGGAAGATTTGAGTAGCAGACTTGGTGCTAACCCAATATGCCAAAAACAGCAAATTGAAATTGCAGGCCACACTTTTAAACCAAACCTGTAGTTTTTATATACTCTTTGTAGGTATACCACAGTACATTAAAAACAAAACTTAAATGCAATGTGGTATCCAGGGTTGGATCCTCAAACAGAAAAAGGACATTAGTAGAAAAACTAGTGGGGGGAAAAAAAAAAGAATAAAAAGAAAACTAATGATAGCTGAATAAAATCTGAAGTTTAATTAATACTAATGTACGAGTGTTAGTCTCTAAATTTTGACAGTGTACCATAGTTTTGTGTCAGATTTTAAAATGAGAGGAAATTGATGATAGATACATAATTCGGTACTATCTTTGCAACTTTTCAGTAAATCTAGGATTGAAAAATAGGTTTATTAGAAAAAAAGAAAACCTCTAATTTCATCTCCTCCTTCCCCTGTCCATCCACATTCATTATACTTTAGTCCAGTGGCTTTCAAACTTTTTTGACCATTACCCACAATAAGAAATACATTTGCAACCTGGTATACACAATCAAACATATAATCAAAATACTATTCTTAAAACATGTAAAATGCACTCTAGTATTTTATTTTTTTCTCTTTTTAGTATAAGTAACTACCCACCTGTGGTTCAGACCCACTGGAAAACTCCAGTTGCAATGGCCTTCTCTTGATTTCTTAAGCACATCATGCTTTTTCCACATTTAAGGCCCTTTGTTCTTGCTGTTCCTTCTCATCCTGCACTCATCCCTGGATGGGCAATCACTGGCTCTTCATATTTTTGCTTAAGTACCACCTCAGTAAAGCTTTCCTAGAACACTCCGCATAGTATGTTCTTCCCTGTTATTTCTTCTTACTACTTTATTTCTTTCATAGCACTTATCATAATCTATAACATTTTTTATGTTTTGTTTTCCAACTCTCCACTAAAATGAAAACTCAATACAGGGTCCTTTCTGGTTCTGTTAACCAGTGTATCCCAACACTCAGAACAAGTCTGGCTCCTGGCAGGCATTCAAATAATTGTTGAGTGAAGAGATACGAAAGCCAACTGAGCTATCTATGGAAATTAGGTAGAGTGGTGGTCTTCTCCACAATTCCCAAGTAAAGCTCCACTTTTCCCTCAGCCTCTCATAAAGACACAGAGTAAATAGAAGGTGACTTTATTTCTCCAATCTTCAAATTGACAAATTTTAAGGAAAGAAACAAATTATGAGAATAATGGGTAGAGTCACATGGATGATTTCTAGCTCCTTTCCTTTCTTTTGACCTACTGGGTCAAAAGGAGCATGAGAACAGAAAGGAGACAAGCCTTCTAAGAAACTCGCCTTTTGGTCTACAGTCAATATGAAAAGATGTCCTTTGGAGCCACAAAAAAGATTAAATTGCAGTTGATTAAGCTTGTTGCTGAAGAAACCAGTCCAGCTGAGCAGCAGAAAGCAACAACTCAAATGTCGATACAGAGCCTTGGGGTCCCTGAACAAAGAGCCTTCTTCCAGATCCTCTTGCTGTCCCCACCAAGGACACACATATGTCCAGCAGCAATATCACAGCAAATGTCTCTACTGCTTCAAGATGAAAATGTCTACACACTATAATACCAGAGAAGAACTCCTGGAAAGAAATAGGGAATGTTCCCCACCAAAGGAGATGAAGCTGGGGAAAGACAGTTTCCTTGAGTTTCCATCATAGAGGTGAGCTGATGCTTCAGTAAATTGGGCTATACCAATTCTGGAGCATCCATGGCATGTAACAAGGTGCCTGTCTGCGTGGGTTGGTGTGGCAGGAAGGGTCAGACGAGCATAAAGTCAGAGGCCCACCCTTCTAGTGTTGGGTCCACTTGATACTCTTGAGGTCAATGCCATCCTGAACCATCTCCCAGAGTGGGCTGCCAAAGAGAAGAGATATTAGATGAGTAAGGGCTTACACAGGTACCAACATTGGCTCCAAGGCCCTGAGCAATGACTTATCTTCTTTTGTCCTTATCTCTACTCTGCCTTTTGCCCTGATAGATCCTACAAGTGGTTAATAAGTATTTCCCAGCTAGTTGTAAGTCCTCTCAGCTCTATCCTCTTTCCAACTGCCACCAAACAGGAATAACTAGGTCCCCCAGGCTCAGATGCCACAGGTCCATGAGCCAATGAACATCAGGCATGGTCACATTCTTGAACTTCTCGTCCCACTTGTGAGAGACTACGGACACAGTCTTCCTAAAGGAACCAACACCCTTGGGACCTGTATAAACAGCAAGTTTCAGCCTCTCTACTAAAGCCCACCATCACTTATAGCCTACTTTTCAGCACTTGTTCCTGGGTTTTGTTCTAATTCCCAGTTAGGGCTGGAGCTTAGCCATAAATCATCTGGGTATGCGGTGCCTTTACCCAGTTCTTGCCAGCTTCATCTCCCCAGAGTTGGACTATGCTTCCAACATCCTTGGCTCCAGTCCAAAAGAAACTCCTGGATCCCATCTCCCACAGGAGCTGCTGCTGAGAAATCTCTACTAAGCTCTGATCCCCTTCAGCTTAGATGTCTTGGATAACGTTCTCAAACCAGACATTACTTCAGTGTGCTATGAATGTGGGATCTGGTAGTTTGGATTTCCCCAGGTAATTTTCTTCTATCAAATTTCATTCTGTTCTGGGCTTATCCCTCTCCTTTACACTATGCATTCCCAGAATGCCTTTCTAAGATTTTCCATGGCCCTTTAATGTTATCCATCTCCTTCCTGTCTCTTCTCTTTAGGGAAGTTCACTTATTAATATAGGCTCACAAAACATGGCTTTGGTTGAGGACTAATGGGACCAGGTTGAATTCAATTTGTAAAGGGTCAGAAGGGATAGTGTATAGATGCTGAAGCCACACAGATAGCAAAAATAAGGCTTTGCTGGCACATAGTCAGTAGAAATGCCCTTTGAGGCCGGGCACAGTGGCTCACGCCTGTAATCCTAGCTCTCTGGGAGGCCGAGGCGGGCGGATTGTTTGAGCTCAGGAGTTCGAGACCAGCCTGAGCAAGAGCGAGACCCC